AAGGGAAGCACTTGTTGGGGGAAGCCGGTCAGGTGGCTCCTTTGGACAGCACTGCAGCTCTTCCCCATTGCCTCCTCCAGGTGCCAGCCAGGGTGAGGAGCATTCAGCAGGCACTGGTGTCCCATGCCACCATGGATGCCGGGCTGCAAGCTGACATCGTGAGGCTGGCTCAAGAACACCCCGTAGAGCTGGTGCTGACCCTCCTGCGCTGTGCCCCATCATGTGACAGGTACGGGGCACAGCTGCCCTGAGAGCTCAGGCCTCGGCGGGCTCTGCCAGACGGGCACAGAGCTCTGGGACCGCCAGTTTCCTGAGCCTGCTGCCACGCTCCCTTCCCGGCCCCTCAGGGCAGCGGGGCTCTGTCACCCGGCCCCACGCAGCTGCCCAGGGCACGGCAGTGATGCCGAGCTCTGCTCCCACAGCGCTGCTGCAGTGATGTGGAGARCAATDDGCTCCTCGGAAGCAGCAGTGCAGGAGGCCATTCCAACGCTTCTGCACATGATGGAGGACAGGCTAGAGGCCAGCATGCCATTGCTCTATGGGGAGAACGAGGATGCCTTTGCCCTGGCTGTGAGTTTCTAGAACTGGCCTTTGCTCACCCTCCAGGGTAAACTTTGTGCCCTGGGCATCCTTGGTCCCTTGCCCGGGTGGGCATGGAGAGGTTGGTGCTCAGGTCTCTTCCTTTCCTGTAGGAAAATGGCCACGTGCAGCTGCTCTCCATCCACACCTTCTGCAGGGTGATGGAGTTGGTAGCGGAAGAGGGGAAGAGGTCTCTCATGCCAATTGTGAGGCAGAGCCTGTTCCCCCTCTTCCTGCAGTGGCACAACGTGGACTGGCGCGTGGCAAAGGTGAGCTTTGCTGTGATGCTGGTGCATCCCTGGGAGGGGGCTCGGCCACCTCTCGCCCCAGCGCCTGGCGGGCTCCGGCCTCCCCCTGGCCTGGGCACGGGGACACGGGTCCTGTGGTCTGGGCTGAGGTGCCACCTGCGGCTCTCTGCTCCTTGTCTCCAGGCCTCAGGCGAAGCGCTGCTTTGTGCAGCCCGATTCCTCGAGAGGAGTGATCTCCAGGAGCTCCTCGAGAGGAGGAAGCGGATGAGGGTTGCCGAGTGCCTGGTAAGGATGGCCCGCAAGCCCCAGCCGGGCCTCGGGGCTGTGCRGGCAGGGGAGGCCGGTGCTGGGTGCGGGGAGCGCCCGGCCGAGGGTCAGAGCCCGCACCGAGGC